CGGTCAGCGCGTGCTGGATCAAAGCCCAATCATGAAGGGGCCAATGTATGTCAGGAGGGGGAAAAACACACAGACACAATTAATCAATCGTCGATTCCCCCAAAAATATGGGAAAATATGGGAAGTGGGGGGGAAGACAGAAACCCAGAAAATATGGGGAAATATGGGGATTCCTTTCATTTGTGTGTATTTATTTGTGTGTCCTAGGGCCCCTTCAGTATGAAGGGTCGTAGTTCCCGCATCAGGGATCCACGGCCTGCTTTCGTGCGTTGGCAGCGCCGCAGTCGACGGCACCTTCGGGGTCCCGCTGACACGTGCGAGGGTGGCAGCAAAGGGAGACGCTGCTGCTCCGCGGGCCGGCGGCCACGGCAAACACTACAGTGTGCCGTCGCGTCTGCTCAAGCAAGGGCATGGACGTTACGTTTAAGTCGGGCCTGTCCCCCTACAGGGGGATTGTCTACGAAAAATAAACAATACCCCCAAAATAATCCAAAAATAGTGCAAAAATGGTCTGGGGACTATGTTTTGAGTATTTTTTGTATTTGTTTTTGGCATTTTTGGGGTATTTTTTATTTTTCGTCGAAAATCCCCCTGTAGGGGGACACGCCCGACATAACTTTACGTTGATGGTTCCGAGCAAGTATCTTGGAAGTCTTTGGACTTCGTGCCGGGGTGGTGGTTGCCAGTGGCCAGCAAGGGCGCAACGGCAAGTGTTGAGTCTGGCAAGCGCAGAATCCAGTCTGGCTTCCCTGTCTTGCCAGGCCAGCCCATGCTAGCAACTGTTGCCGTGCACGTGTCTGTTCTGGCAGTTGCAGGGCCAGGGGTCGTCGGCTAATCAAACGTTACCGCAAAGCGAACTTTGTCTGATGTCGAGGCGGGAGTTTTGGCCGAGTTCGAGAGGCTGTCCGCCGAGGCTACCACCAAGAGGGCAAAGCCTAGGCCGCCCGTATTCATGCAGTACCACAAGGACAACGGTTGAACACGGGAGGAGGAGGAAGAGGAGGAGGAGGATCATGAAAAGGAAGAGGGACAGAGAGCATACATGCCGAACGTTTCCCAGCACACGTTTCTTAGGAAGTGCCGTAAACATGGGCTTAAGTTTTCTGATGGGATGCTGTCGGGCGGTGGGCGCGATCCCAAATGTCGCCTGAACAAGACCGACAAGGCGAATTCGGAGTTCGTCAAACCCATGCTGCAGTGATGGCAGGCGTGCAGTCCGTTCTGACTGGCCCGCAGCGCGGAACCATCGGGTTTCGAGCGCGTTAGGGTGTCGAAGCTTTCTTCTCCTTTTCCTCTCTCGTCCTCTTCCTTCTCCTCTGAACCCCCCCCTCCTCACTCATCGTCCTTCTCCCCCTTCCTCATCGCCTCCCGATCCTCTCTTTTCCTCCTCTTCCACCTCCTGCCCCTCTCCCTCCTCCTTCCATCCCCCCCTCCTGCTCTTTCATTCATTTTCACCCCCCTCCGTGGCCGCGGTGACGCCATGGCCGTCGCCATACACCCGTTTCTTATTCAAGTGTCTTACCCCATTCCGCCATTTCCCAGAATAAATGAACGCTTGCGACGATCGTGGAGGTTACCTAGTGGCCTTCGGCGAACCCGCCACGGTGCCTGGTCTGTGGGTCAGAAGCTCCTTGGATGCATATGAGCGTCTCTTGGGATGCCTCTTGGGGGCATCCTAGAGGATTCTTGGGGGCATCCGTGACGCTTCTTGGGAGCCGCTTGGGGGCTCTTGGGGTCCTCCTGAGGGCTTCTGGGGGGCTTTTTGGTGCGCGATGCCCGCTTTCCTTATTCCAGAATTAGAAACACCTGGTTTTCTCGACCCCCAGAATTGTCGAACACCGAGTGAATCAGAGTGAGGGGGCCGAACGGTCATTCATTGTCCCTGGGTGCGTGGCTGGAGTGAGGATCCGTGGTGAGGATTCTGCTTGTTGCGTTGCTATTGTTGTTGTTGTTGTTGTTGTTGCTGCTGTTGTTGTTATTGTTGTTGGTGTTGTTGTTGTTGTTGCTGTCGTTGTTGTTGTTGTTGTTGTCGTTGTCGCTGCTGCTGATGTTGGTGTTGTTGTCGTCGTCGTCGTCGTCGTTGTTGATGCTGTTGCTACTGTTGTTGTTGTTGATGTCGTAGTAGTAGTAGTAGTAGTAGTAGTAGTAGTAGTAGTAGTAGTAGTAGTAGTAGTAGTAGTAGTAGTAAGTAGTAGTAGTAGTAGTAGTAGTAGTAGTAGTAGTAGTAGTAGTAGTAGTAGTAGTAGTAGTAGTAGTAGTACTAGTAGTACTAGTAGTAGTAGTAGTAGTAGTAGTAGTAGTAGTAGTAGTAGTTAGTATAGTAGTAGTAGTAGTAGTAGTAGTAGTAGTAGTAGTAGTAGTAGTAGTAGTAGTAGTAGTAGTAGTAGTAGTAGTAGTAGTAGTAGTAGTAGTAGTAGTAGTAGTAGTAGTAGTAGTAGTAGTAGTAGTAGTAGTAGTAGTAGTAGTAGTAGTAGTAGTAGTAGTAGTAGTAGTAGTAGTAGTAGTAGTAGTAGTAGTAGTAGTAGTAGTAGTAGTAGTAGTCGTAGTCGTAGTCGTAGTCGTAGTAGTAGGCGTAGTAGTAGTTGTTGTTGATGATGATGGTGATGATGCTGTTGTTGGTGTTGTTGTGGTTTTTGCTGTTGTTGTTGTTGTTGCTGCTGCTGCTGTTGTTGTTGTTGGTGTTGTTGTTGTTGTTGTTGTTGTTGTTGTTGTTGTTGTTGTTGCTGCTGCTGCTGCTGTTGTTGTTGGTGTTGTTGTTGTTGTTGTTGTTGTTGTTGTTGTTGTTCGTTGTTCCTTGTTGTGTTGTCTTGTTGTTTGTTGTTTGTTGTTTTTTGTTTGTTGTTTGTTGTTTGTGGTTGTTGTTGTTGTTGCGCGACCCACACGCGACCCACACCGCGACCCACCCGCGACCCACCTCGCGACCCACCTCGCGACCCACCCCGCGCGTCCCACCTGTGACCCAACCCGCGACCCACCCGCGACCCACCCCGCGACCCACCCGCGACCCACCCGCGACCCACTTGCGACCCACCCGCGACCCACCCCGCGACCCACCCGCGACCCACCCGCGACCCACTTGCGACCCACCCGCGACCCAGCGATCCACCCGCGACCGACCCACATTGGCTTTGTCGAAAAATCGGCGCCTGCGGTGGGCTCGCTGTATAATTTGTGAAACTTTGGCTCCTGCGGCGGGCTTCTCCAGAGTCTCGCAAACTGCCGACGTCCCCACGGCCCCCTCACTCTTATCCGCATCTGCGGGGTGCTACGTCTTGCACCCGCACGGCTTGCCTTTCCCCCAAGCCACCGCCACCTCCTGTGGGCATGTGGCTGAGATCTTTATCATAGCAATCACCAACATCATCGCCACGCTCCTTGCCATCGTCGGCCATTTTCGGTGGCATTATCTTTGTCAGCGTGCCTTATTTCTGAACAGTTTCAGTGGTCTCATGTTCCAAGCGTTTCGTTTCTTAGCCGCCTGCGTTTGTCGGGGCGCGCGTGTTTCTCGCAATACGAACTGTTCTCACATAGATACGCAGCCCATCTCAATCCCACTGCTCCGATCCGCATACGTAGAAAGCCGATCAAACCTCCTCCGTTTTGCCCCGCTCTTTCTTCTTTGCCCTTCCTCTTAGTCATTGCCACCTCCTTTTCTCGCTGGCACCTCCTCTGCTTCGCCTTTCTTGTCAGTCATTACTCCCTCCTCTTCCTATTCCCCGTCCACCGCGCCACGTTTACGGATGCGACTTGAGCCCGCATATGTAAATGCCAGGGTCCAAAGCGTGCCGAACACGATTTGATAACCTTAGCGTGGCCCACAAAGTGACCATCCGAAAACATGTTGTTGACCTGAACAGGACTCAGTGGGCATTTCCAGAGGAGGAGGAAGAGGAGTAGGAAGAGAAGGAGGAGGTGAAGGAGGAGGAGCGCGAGTCACGCGGAGTCGTCGACGGTGGATGAGACCGTGATGGCGAAGTTTGAGGAAGGAAAGAGGAGGATGAGAAGGACGGGTAAGAGAGACGTATATTCTTGAAGGCCGCGACCCTTACATGTCATTGACCGTTACGGAAGCGTGGCCTTGTCTCGTTAGAGTCCGATCCCGAAGTAACTTGCTCGGGAAAGGGTATGACGTCTGTTTTTCAGCATTGCGCTTAGATTCGCATCCCTAAGCGATCCTCTCTCGGGGCGCTGTTTGTGGCCACGCTGGTGAAGGTCTGGAGGCCTGCCCGCATAGCCCCCCAGTCAGATGAACCCGGCGCTACCCAAATTAGGGGAAGGCTTCGTATTGCATGAGCGCAGTGCTTGGCATTGCTTGGCAGTGTTTGCCATTTCTTGGCAGTGCTTGTCATTCCTTGGTATTGTTTGGCATTGCTTGAAACGGGCACACGAAGAATTCTTAAGAATACGAGGAACCGGGGACGGGGAACCAGGTTGAGCCAAGGAACCCAAGGAACCCGAGAAACCTCCGCGAAACGGGCAACCAATAGGAGGCACCGGGTGCGGGGAACCCGAGAAACCCGAGGAATCTCCTAGGAACGGGCAAAGTGACATTCCGAGGCACCAACCTTTAACAAAGTAAGGCAAGCCTAATTGAGGAAATAATGGAAGAAGAGAGGGGACGGAGGAGGAGAAATGAGAGTGGTTGAGGTAGGGAGGAGCACGGACGAGGGAGGCCCTTTCCTCTTGCCTTCCCCCCTGACCATCCTTTCCTCGCTTCCCTCGCCCCTCGCCCATTATCCGTCGTCGTCGTCGTCGTCGTCGTCGTCGCCGCCGCGATCGACGCCGCCGTCGTTCCTACCGACGCCGACCATCTCGCGAAGATGCCCGCTCCCTGCTATGACCAGCTCGCAAAACAGCCCGAGGTCGCCTCCTCCGCCGTTGCCGCCGCCGCCGCCGCCGCTGTCCGCCGCCGCTGTCCGCCGCCGTCGCCGCGCGAGGCGCTCCGCGAGCGTGACCTGCGCGAAGCGGCCTCGGCGGAGTCGCTGCGGCGCCAGCGGGAGGACCTGGCGGCGCGTCGGCGCCGTCGTCTTCGTCGTTGCGGGAGCAGGAGAGCGAGGTGAGAGGGGCGGAGGGATGACGAGGGAACGGAGAAGGGGGGTGATGATGGCGGTGGAGGTGGCTGTTGTGATGATGATGCTGATGATGATGATGATGATGATGGTGGTGGTGGTGATGGTGGTGGTGCTGCTGCTAATGATGATGATAATAATGCTGATGCTGACGGTGATGCTGGCGATGATCATGCTGGTGGCGATGATGATGCTGATGGTAGTGTTGGTGATCATGATCATGATCATGAACACGATGATGACGATGATAATGATGATGCTGATGCTGATGATGCTGATGATAGTGATGATGGGTATGCATATAAAAGACGGTGATACCGACACACACGATGGTTTTGATTATTGCTTCTTTGATGCTGGTGGGCATGGGTACTTGATGGTGGTGGCGGTGGTGGTGGTGTCGGTGATGATGATACTGCTGCTGCTGCTGATGATGCTGCTGATGATGATGATCATGCTGCTGATGATACTGATGCTGATTCTTATGCTGATGGTGATGATGACGATGCTCTTGATGTTCATCATGCTTTAGATGGTGATGGTGGTGGTGATACTGACGATGCCGATTATGCTGTAGGTTGTGGTGTGAATTATGATCGTGAGGCTGATGTGATGTTGTTGATGCGCACGATTAGAGTGACGGTGATGACAGTCCCTACGTATATGACGATTATGGTTAGGTTGACGAGCATGACTTGGATGATGGTGATGGTCGGATGAGGGGGAGAAGGATCATGTCGTCGTTGTCGTCGCAGTAACAGGAATCGTAGGCGGAGGACAGGGAGGGAACAATGGGCGGCGGAGGGGGGAGGAGGGGTACCCAATGCCGTCGTTGAGCCCATTGGCGGCATTTGAAGGACGGGAAGAGTTGGAGGAGGAGCATTGAGAGGAGGATGTGGATGTGGATGTGGAGGAGGAGGAGGAGGATCAGGAAGGGGGGGCGAGGAGGAGCAGGAGGAGGAGCAGGAGGAGGACGAGGAGGAGGAGGAGGAGGAACAGGAGGAGGAGGAGGAGGAGGAGAAGGAGGAGCTGCTTCGATCGTTGTTTTGCCTTTGCTTCTTGCCCCTCCGAGGTTTCTTGTTGAGGGTTGCGACGGGGAAGATGAGGAGGAGGACAGGAGGAGAATGCCCCAATCAACTCAGAGGGATCAACCTTGTCAATACGCACGACGCTCACAGGGAGCAGGAGCAGCACTGGGTAGAGGTCTCGTCCCCCGCAGGACCCTCGGTGCATGCGTCATGATTCGGCGGCGCGCCCGGGGTGAAAGTGAGAAGGGGCGGGCCTTGTCAGAAGGCTCCGAAGTTCCAGGCCTTCCCCGAAGTCGCAGAAGACTTGTCCGAAGGCTGGAGGACTCTCGAGAAACTCCGCCGCCTTCTCAGAAGGCCTCCTCCTTCTCACTTCCCCGCCCTCGCTCGCCGTCGAATGGGGTGGGCGTTCTGCTCCGCCGCGCGTGCAAGAGGCTCGCCGCAGGCACGCCCTCCACCGTCACCCACGCATAGGGGCTCGCTGCAGCCCGGGGCGGCTCGCCGACGGGGGGCAACACTCTCCTCGCGTGTCCAGGGGCTCCGAGCGCCCATGTCTTCGACGAGGCCCGTTGGCGTGTAACGTCCGCCCCCGGGAGATGTCCGCCCCTGGGAGATGTCCGCCTTTGGAGGATGTCCGCCCCTGTCTTTTTTTTCTTTGGGCGGCGAGGAGCAGGAGATGGACGCGGACTGCGATAATATACGTATACGCAACTCGCCTCGCCAAGCGTGCTGGCAGTTATCATGCTCGTCGCAAGGCTGTCCTGCAAGCGTGGGCCACCACGAGGCTGCGAAGTTAGTCGCGCTTCGCGGTCTGGACGATCTCAGAGCGAGGCGCGAATCCCTCATCCTTTTTCGGGGGGGGGGGAGTCGCGAACGCGCGAGGAGAACCGCGCCCCACGGAGCGCGAAGCGCGAAGCTAGTTGTCCGAGTGGTTGGCCTCCGCCGAGCACTTGCTATAGCGCCACACCGCCCGCCGCGCTTCTGTGGCACGTGCTGAATGGCCCCCGCCCCCCAAACCACCCCACCCCAACCCGAAGGCCTCAATTTGCCCTCCATTTCCAGTTGGGGGGGGTCGGGGAACATTGAAAAAACATATGGAACCCGTACCCCCCCCCAACCCGAAATTGGGGTCTTCGGGTTGGGTTGGGGTGGTCTGGTAGGTAGTCAGAATGGCCCCCGCCCCCGTGGCTTGCGCCCGCCTGTCGCATCTGGCCGCGGCAGGTGCCCTTGCCACTGTAGAGGTGGCTCTCTGTTGGATGCCGCCCGGTGGCCGAAGGGTGGTCCGTCCCTGCCTCGAAGGAAGAAGGGCATCAATAGGAAGGTTCGACGCTCCGCGCGGCTCGCTTCGATCGGCGCTGGACATAATCTCGTCCAGGTATCAACCGAATCTGGCGAATTCTGAGCGAAATCCCCAGCACCGCAAGGGGATTGAAATCCTCTCAGGCTCCCAAGGACAGCACAATATCGGGTGCGCGCTCCCAAGAGCAGAGGGACAAACAACGGCACAAGCATAAACCTTTGGTGGTCCGCGCGGATTCCTTCGATCGGCGCGCGACCGCCCTCTGTGGCGCGCGGAGCGCGCCAGTGGTGGCGCCGGAGGCGCCGCCAGGGGTTCAGCGCGGATCCAAGAAATTAGCGCGGGCCCCCTCGAACTTATGTTGATGCCGTTATTCCCCAAGCAGTGCTTGAGTTCAGGGGTTCCTAATTATACAGGGCATTTTTTAATACACTGGATTAAAACATAGGATTTTAAATACATGGTTAATTTATGAACAAAGTTATGGATGAACTCATCGCTGTTTCTAATACTAATTCCCTGCATTTTTTCATACATGATCCCACGCAGAGCATGTATTAGAAGCGGCACTGTATTCTAAGGAATTGGGCCTGGCTGCTGGTCTGGCGACTCCGTGCTCGCCGTCGCCACCACGTCGCCGCCCCGTCGCCGAATGGATCGTACAGCATATACTCCCTTTCCAACGCAACTGATTTGAATTCTTCCATCCGAAATTCGAAATTTACCGTACCATTTTGCGTTTCTCCATTTACATACGATTCTGCCCCACCGCCCATCCGAAACATGAACGCAAGCAATCCCAGGAATGCCCGCATCGTCCCCCCCTCATCCTCTGCAAAAACACTGTTGCGCGCGCACGCACGTTTGCCAAGAACCATCATCTTTCAATACCCCCCTTGCAAACAATGGGACGAAGTGCGCACGCACGCGTCGTCGCGAGCGCATGCCCAAATCATTCAAAAACTAAGGTGTCGCAAGGATTTCAAAGTCGAGCGTCCCGAAACAATATCAAAATAGCACATGGTTTCGCAACAAGAAGTTTCAAACAAAGCTTGCGCCCGCGACCTTGCGAGTTTTCAAGGCAACCAGGGTTCTCAATATTTTCATAGCGTGCTACCCAAAGTGCCTCTCGGGCGCGCGTGTCGGAATTGTTCGAACGCCACTGCGCGCGTGCTGTCTCAAGAATCCCTTGCCGCAAAAAAGGAGCGAAGTACACGCGCGCAACTCTTTCAAACACCTATGGTCTCGTCATGATGTCAACATCGAGTGTCCCGGCAATGCATAAAGTACATGGCTCCGCAGCGCCAGGCTCCAAAAAGGCGTGCGCGTACGTTTCAGAGAACTCTTCAGACAAGCAGAAGTTCTCCACGTTTCCATTTGATTCTGCCAAGCGGGCTTCTCGCGCCGCATGTCGGTATCATTCGCACGCCCTTGCGCGCGTGTTGGGGGGGCACGATGCGTGTCACAAAAACGCCATGCGGGCCACTCGCGCGTCGGCCGCGCGCGCAGGCCGAACTTTCTCCAAAACATTCATCACCGACGCGGGGACGCCGTCATCGTCGTCAGCGTGATCAGCATCGGCGCCATCACTGGCCTTGCCGTCGTCGTTGTCATCATCGTCGCCAGCATCGCTACTGTCATCACCGTGTCTACCGCTGTCGACCATTGTCCGAAGTGCACTTCGACACTGCACGCCTGGACGGCGACTGGTTCAGCGCGACGGCCTTCGCCCTGACAATGCCCCTGGCTTCGCGGTGCCGTTCTGGTGCCAGGCCAGCTCGAAGGGTGGCGCTCACATTTTTTAGTCAGAGCTGGCTGCGAGACAGTCGGGAACCGTCCAAGCCAGAGGAGTTCGGAGTAGGGTAGTTAGTTTCGGGGGTGGACAGACCTCCTACCCTGACGCGTCGATTAGCGAATTGTCCGTTTTCGGTTCGCGAGCTGAGAGGGCGTCGCGGCCGTCATTCTTGCGGGTCCAGGTCCGTCGGTTTCGGTCCTAGGCCCTTTTCATTAAAGTGAGGTTTGCGAAAGGGAGGCTTGTCCACCGCCGGTAGTTGATGATCATGGCACCTGCATCCGCAACGGCGTCCACTCCACTCCTCTCCCCTCCGTCGCCGCTCCTGTCCTCCTCTCTTCCCCTGTCCTTCTCTCCCGTGCAGCTCTGAGCGTTGGTCGTCTCGGCCGCCGCGGCCGGCAATCTATGCCATCGTGCACTTTTGGCTTGTGGTTTGCGGCTGAGTATCGGAGGTTGATATACCTCCTACCCTGACACGTCGATTAGTGAATTGGCCGTTATCGATTCGCGAGAGAGCTTCTCGGCCATTATTTTTGCGGGTCCAGGTCCGTCGGTTTTCAGTCCTGGGCCGTTTAATCTAAAGGGTGGTTCACTAAAGGGAGGTTTGTCCACCGCCGAGAGTAGGGTCATGGGATGTGCAGACCACGGCGGGACGTCGTTGTCAGAGGGCGGATGCTTTGCTGCATTCTGTCTGTATTCCGTCTCCCCGATATTTTTTCCTCCACCTTATTTGTTTGAAAGGCCGAGGGAGCTAGTCGACGACAAGACGACTGCGAAGGAACAAAGACATTAAAGGCGTTCCCTTGCGAGAAATGCG